CATGACCGATTACCCCTCCCTAGATATATTTTCCAGCGATCAGAGGACAGGTGGCCAAAAACGGTGGTTGCGGGAAAACCCTTATATCTCCTGAACGGAACAAGGTAGCAAGGTCAGCTTTGCGTAGATCGACAGAGAACAATTTTTGCTATCGAATGGTGGTATTACAAGTCAAAATCATATCAGAAATTAACCTTTAAAATCTTGTCCTAATAATGTCCATCAAGAAATTCATCTGATTGGTCGATATATTGACCAATGAAAATTGCATGTCTCGATGTCCCTCTCTGTCCAACGGTGAAAACCCCAGGTCTCTATCTTGTTCCTATCGAAAGTTATTACAAAAATACCCACGGCCATCTTATTATTGGACAGACATTAGTAACACGGGCACTGATACTTCGCCGTCAAACATCAGTTCTACTTTTATTATTTGTTTATAAACCTTTACTGGAATGAAAACTTACACCATAAAAACGGATTATATTTCTCCTAATTCTTTAGTGAAAAGATTACCTAAATCCGTATAGCAGCAAATATGCACGTCGACAAGTATGGCGGAGTATGTCGAAGAACGACGAAGAACAGAAGTATGCTTTTGCCCACTTGTGCAATTTTCCCGATTAAAGTGCATGCAGAAACTTCTCAAATTTCGGCATACCTAGAACATTTTGAATTGCACTGTTATATAATTATCGAGCTGATGAAAGTTTCAGAAACTTCACCAACTTCATTTTTTCGAAACCCCAACATACCTCGAACTCGAGCAATGAAAATGGCGCAATCGACCGTCATCGGTTTCTTTTTCCATTCACAAAATGCTGAAGACAATGCCACAATCATTCAGCTCGCCTACATATTGTGTCCATTCCATACGAAGCATTAAAAACTGAAACATCAATCTTGATCATCCAAACTCTATCTTCTAAGAAACACCGGCAGCATCATCCATCACCGTTGATCGCCGTTACAAAACCCACCATGCATCCCATCTCTTGCCAAACAATTGTCGTACATCGGTAACATATTTCTCCCAGTATCTACTGAGGTATGCCAAACGCATGGACCCAAAAGATGTCACGCCAGCAACTATTATGAGAACCTCCAAAAGCCATATAATCAATTCCAACCTGCAAGGTCATTGCGGTAATAGCTCCTGAGAAAGCTCACTAACTTGTAGGCATAATGGATACTATTCCAAACGCCCGTACACGTTCAGTAATATAGTGAGATATGCAATCAGGTCTAATGGATATAACACCATCAGAAAACCCAAAGCTAATACTTGTAGAAAAACCAAAAATAATTACCGAGTCCTCCGCAAACAAGCTACTACCTCGCCTCTTCAAAACGACCTCTCCGGCTGTGACTGCGACCCAGAGTTCGCACGCCGGAGAGACTGTGCATATCAATTCTACTTTCCTCTCCAAGCATACACAATAACAACAATATACACATCCTGAAACTTATAAATAAAAAACCATTCCACACAATCGACATCCTTTTAACGTCTCGGTATCCATGCAATGCTGACGTCCGTCTTTCAACCACATAACGCCGCAACACGCTATCCGCTACTTCTTAACTTCCAATGTTGTCTTACTTCGAATCGATCGCCATTATTGGAAAATCATACACTTATTCATCCACTTCAATATCCTTAACACCAGACCTTCTTTCATGTTGGGGAATCCTTGGAATCCTTGCTTAGGATTCCCCTCTGCTAGGCGTCCATGCGCCCATGCGGATTTTCGGAAATTCTTCCTTATCAAGGCTGCCTAGTTACAGATTTCTTGGAATCGTTGAAGTCTACTAGAATCGAACATGCTCTTCATTATTCCCAACACGCGACTTTGTTTCACTTCGGGGAATCCTTGGAATTCTTGGTTTAGTACGCCATTCACATCATGGCCTATGAGGATTCTAGGAAATCCTTCCGTATCAAGGCTTCGGAATTCGAGATTTCTTGTAATCCTTGGAATCTAATACAATCGAACATGCTCCTTAACATTCTAAACACCAGACTTTGTTTCACATCGGGGAATCCTTGGAATCCTAAGTTTAGTATTCACCTCCTATGTGGGCCTATTACGATTTTCAGATGTATTTCGGTTTCAAGGCTTCCACATTCCAGATATCTTGGAATCCATGGAACCTGATAGAATCCAACATGCGCTTCATTATTCTCAAAAAGCTGTTAGCGCAATCCCTTCGGGATTAAAATGTGGAACACGACAAAACCGCTAGTTCTTATCAGATAAAGTATTGTTTTATCGATTTCTGGATTCTTTCTTTCACTATACTTTAGTGCATCAGCTACAAATCCAAAACCGAAACAGCTGAAAAATTTTATCCAGATTGTAGCCCTATCCGGTCCTTGCTTGTACGCCCATAGCATTCATGACAGTCTACAACGACGTCCAAAGGTCTCTATCGAGCTGTACCATAGTCATAGCTCCACCTTTATATCCTCCCTGCATTTCTAATACTGTTTGCGATGGATCCAAACCTTGTCTCTAAGGGTCTGGGAAGGAAAACCAATTAAGTAAACTGTAGTTAGTTAATTAATTAATTAAAATGTCTTCAGAAGTAATTCAAATCCCTATTCTTCACGCTTTAACTCGTCTTCGTCTGTCTGCAACGGTGGATGACGGTTCAATCACCAGTCGGTAACAGTCGGTGATGCTGGAATCACCTGTCTGTAATGGTCTGTGATGCTGGAATCACCTGTCTGTAATGCTCTGTGATGCTGGAATCACCTGTCTGTAACGGTTTCTGATGCTGGAATCACCTCTCTGTAACGGTTTGTGATGCTGGAATCACCTGTCTGTAACGGTTTCTGATGCTGGAATCACCTGTCGGTAACGGTCTGCGATGGGTGAGTCAACTCTCGCTTCGGGTCTGTAATGGCTCAGTCACCAGTCGGTGACGGTTTCTGGGCAGGGGTTGGCTCCAAATTTCTACCCTTAACACTTCAACACTCCTTTCAGGTCGTGTTTCACAAAACCCAATTTGTTTCAACAGGGGCACCCTTTGAACCCTTGGTATTCTATTCTACTACAATCGTGGCCTATGAGCATTTTCTCAAATCCTTCGGTTTCAAGGGTTCCTAGTTCCCGATTTCTTAGAATCCCTCGAACCCAATGGAATCCAACATTCTCTTCACTATTGTCAACAACATCCGTTGTTTCAACTCGGGGAATGCTAGGAATCCTTGGTTTACAGTTCCACTCCTACGGTGGCCTAGGAGGATTTTCAGTAATCCTTCGGTTGCAACACTTCTCGGTTCCAGATTTCTTGGAATCCTTGGAATCTGATAGAAGACAACATGCTCTTCATTATTCTCAACATCATACTTCGTTTCAACTCGGGGAATCCTTGGAATCCTTGGTTTACCTTTCCAGCCCTAAGGTGGCCTACGAGGATTTTCTCAAAACCTTCGCTTGCCGCACTTCCCGGTTCCAGATTTCTTGGAATCCTTGGAATCTGATAGAAGACAACATGCTCTTCATTATTCTCAACATCACACTTCGTTTCAACTCAGTGAATCCTTGGAATCCTTGGTTTACCGTTCCAGCCCTAAGGTGGCCTGCGAGGATTTTCTCAAATCCTTCGCTTGCCGCACTTCCCGGTACCAGATTTCTTGGAATCCTTGGAATTTGATAGAAGACAACATGCTCTTCATTATTCTCAACACCATACATTGTTTCAAAACGGGGAATCCTTGGAATCCTTGGCTTACCGTTCCACCCCTACGGTCGCCTAGGAGGATTTTCTCAAATCCTTCGGTTGCAGCACTTGTCGGTTACAGATTTCTTGGAATCCTTCGAATCTCCCAGAATACAACATGCTCTTCATTATTCTCAACACCACACTTCCTTTCAACTCAGTGAATCCTTGGAATCCTTGGTTTACCCTTCCACCCCTATGGTGGCCTAGGAGGATTTTGGAAAATCCTTCGGTTGCAACACTTTCCGGTTCTAGATTTCTTGGAATCCTTGAAATCTGATAGAATACAACATGCTCTTCATTATTCTGAACACCACACCTTGCTTCAACTCGGCGAATCCTTGGAATCCTTCATTTATCATTCCACTCCTCTGGTAGCCTAGGAGGATTTTGGGAAATCCTTCGGTTGCAGCACTTCCCGGTTACAGATTTCTTGGAATCCTTGAAATCTGATAGAATACAACATGCTCTTCATTATTCTGAACGCCACACCTTGTTTCAACTGGGGGAATCCTTGGAATCCTTCATTTATCATTCCACTCCTTTGGTAGCCTAGGAGGATCTTGGGAAATCTTTCGGTTGCAGCACTTGTCGGTTCTAGATTTCTTGGAATCCTTGAAATCTGATAGAATACAACATGCTCTTCATTATTCTGAACGCCACACCTTGTTTCAACTCGGGGAATCCTTGGAATCCTTGGTTTACCGTTCCACTCCTATGGTGGCCGACGAGGATTTTGGAAAATCTTACGGTAGCAGCACTTCCCGGTTCCAGATTTCGTGGAATCCTTGAAATCTGATAGAATACAACATGCTCTTCATTGTTCTCAAGACCACAGCTTGTTTCAACTCGGGGAATCCTTGGAATCCTTCATTTATCATTCCACTCCTCTGGTAGCCTAGGAGGATTTTGGGAAATCCTTCGGTTGCAGCACTTCCCGGTTTCAGATTTCTTGGAATCCTTGGAATCTGATAGAATACAACATGCTCTTCACTATTCTCAACACCACATCTTGTTTCAACTCGGGGAATCCTTGGAATATTGAACGAGATTTCAAGGTTTCCGCTTTGAGGGAAGTCGGCCAGGTCTCCGCCCTGCGTCTCTCTGTCTCCTTTTAATGGTTTCCTAAGGTTTCCTTACTTTTAGTGTGTGTATGTATCTTTTATCAATTAATTATGAGTTCTAGTGAATTAAGAGGCAAAGGTTAATTAATCAGGTGATGTTGTTAATTAGTTAATCAAGTCGACAAGGTAAGTCTTTTTATTTGTTCTTTATTTATTTGATTGAAGGTCGAATCTTTGTACTCGATGATTTCCACAATCGACGACATAGAGATTGCCGTGTCGATCGAATGACAAACCGAAGGGCCAATTGAGTTGGTTCGATTGTTCTCCTCTACCGTTTCCACCAACAATGACACTTCCCTGTGTGGCTCCTTTGGGCCAACGCATGATTCGATCATTCCTTGCATCAGCCACATAGACAGTGCCCAATTGATCGACAACGACTCCTTGAGGACAAGACAATTGTGTAAGACCATTTCCTTGTCCTTGACCACCAGCCACGACAATGCCTTGTTTTGCACCTTCCAC